CCCCAAAACCCCAAAACCCCAAAACCCCAAAACCCCTAGGGGGGTAAAGATTATTGGGATTAATGAAAATAGTTATTTCTGGACTTTTGATTCCTCGTCAGGAGATGTGAGTTTGGGTCTGCGAGGTATAGGAGGAGCCTTTCTGATTTTTACCTCTTTGTTCTTGATATTTCGCTGTTGTATCCTCTTTCTGAACTCTTCTACTGAGAAATCTAGAGTATATATCTCAAAGTCTTACCTGGTCGTTTGAAGGCTTTGTTCAAAGGATTTCTGACGTTGTATGTCATTGGGCCTATATCTTACAAGACAGAATTACTTCCTTCATCCAGAGTTGCCTTATCGAACTTCTTTTTCTTGCATGACTTGCATGTGGAGTAGATCAGGGATGGAAAAATAATCAACCAGTTTACAAGGAAGAAGACTACGATGACTCCAATGCATGCCCATCCAATTTGAGTGATTGCATTTGAATCACTTGTTTCAGTGAAGAGGTACAGGAGTCAAGTGAAAAGCACTAAGATACATTCATTGTACACGTTAAGAACATTGTTAATTTTGGCCACATATGGCTTTTCTGACACTCAGTAATAGAGTTGCCATATGAACATGAGCATTCACAGGATCAGCTGTTTCTTAGGGTCTTCTTTCATGCACACAATGACAAATGCAAACAAAATTCTCCTGACCATGAAGAACCCGAAGTAGAGCAGTTGTTTGGCTTTCTGTTTTTTGAAATCAACGAAAAGAAGGCAGTGTCTTTCGTGGACAACAGGGTTCACTATGAATAGTCAGATGAAATACTTACTTTTGATGTCATCAAAGTGGTAGACTGGATAATAAATTCCGTAGGCAGTCAAGAGAAAAATCCCAAAGAGAGTAAATACAGAAACTATGAATGCAATTTTATCCTGAGTCAAATAAGTACTTCCATACCAAATATTGATCCAGCAAGCAACAGAGAGATTGAGTACGAGCTCAACAGCAAACCTGGTAAAGGACTCATATCTGATTGATTTGTCAATTTTCTTAACTCAATTCGCAGTTTTTGAGTTACTATTCTTAACTTTCTTGTAGAGGCAACTTAGTATAATTGCGGATAAGAGAAGAATTAAGATCATCCCAATCTTGTCAAAGCTGTTGACCAAGATGTTCGTTGACTCAAATCCAAGGTTTCCGAAGTTTGTACTCACTGGAGAGTTTATGAAGTTGACTCCAAAGAAGATCACAGAGGTTACGTATTTAGTCAGAGGGTTATCAAAATTGGAGTAAGCCATTATTTTAAATGTGTTCGCAAGATCTGATGGATATTCTAACTCAATCAGTCCCATAAAGAACAAAATCTGAAGAGTGTTAGCCAGACTCCACATTGTCTCTGCTGATCCACCAGTCAGCATACTGACTCCAAGAGAGGCTCCGACTGTAAACAAGAAAGTGTATGAAGCACCTTTCCCTGAGCTTTCAGATGATCCACTGACTGGAAATGTTGGGACAGTATGTATAAAAGCAACAGCTGAGAGCATTGGAATAGTTTCATTTGACTTGAACTTTTCTATCTCTTGCAGAATCAATGTAATCTTCTCTCCAATTCCTCCAACAAAAGGAGGTGATAAAGCCAATGTTACAATAAAGTTCTTCCCTAAATATATTAGTCAGCACAAATCAGGAGATCTTTGGAGCTTACCTTCAAACTTAGTTGTGAATGTGAAGTCTATTTCTATTTCAGGGCTTTCGATGAAAATAACTACGCTAGTATTCTTCATTTCTTGGTCCATCATTTCTTGATCGAACTCTACTGTAATGATGTTAGTCATCTGATCAAATGTAGAAGTTATTGGGACTGGCCTCGGGAACTCAGTCTCACAGACATCAGGCTCTCCTGAAACTTGTGTTCATATGTAGTTAGTCTCAACTGTTCAGTCTTTAGATCATCCGTCAAAGTCCATATTATTACCATCATCACATGTTTCTCCATATTCAGGGTTCCTTTCAGAGTTTCCTCAGGCAGGAGTTCAGTAGGAAGGCTGATCAGGAAAATTTAGTCAATTATACTTATACGTAATAGTTCAATCACTCTCTCAGCCATCTCCGCTACCTCTATTTCCATCATCACAAAGTTCTGTATCTGCTTCGAGAGTTCCGCTTCCACATTCTAGCTGGCAGTATGATTTATTACCTAATGTAGGGTCTATTTCACAGAGATGTTTATCTTCAACTGTACAATATTTTGAACAGCCATCACCATCATCTGTATTACCGTCATCTCACTCTAGCATTCTTGGGGACATCTGAACGGTACCATCTCCTCAGCGGTCGATACAATGATAGTACACATCTCTAAATCCTTCAGAGCAGTACTCTTTCTCCTTGTGGGTCAAGTCCATGCAGAGCTCAGGCTGGGCAGTGAAGTAGTTCTAGAAGGTCAGGCTACAAGTACGAGGCAAGCATTATCTTCTTCTGACACTGTTTTCTGATCTGATTTGAACTTTTCGAAGTACCTAAAATTTAGTTTTCATTGAATGGTTATAACCGGGATATTGCAAGAAATAATGTTAATTTGGAAACCTTTCAAAACTAAAGGCTTTAGAGAGTTATTTAGAGCATGACTTGTGATACAGTATAATGAATTCAATAGACTAATTACATATCTAGGGGGTTAAGAATCATAAATATTGTTTGTTTATTAGTGGCTCCAAGTTGACCTGGATTTGATTCACATATCGGTGAAAGTATAAGAGGTCATAAACACTGGTACTTTGAATAACTCTGCTGTTGGTAATCATATCCCGAATTCCCTGCCTCTTCGTATTCTCCGTGATTATCACAAGTATCCTTATTCATGGCCCATGGATAATACTTCAAATTCCTGATAATCCCCTGGAGGTCACAGAAGGAGGCTTACTTGGAGACTTTTGAACCGTATAGTCATTGTATTTTCAGTTGTAGAGACTGAAGCCAAAGCTTTAGACCCAGATCCATCTATCTGATGCTGACTATAATCGCAAGTAGTTGCTGAAGCTATAGTTTGGAATCACACATGGAGAACTAAAAGAGCTGAAAAAACTAAAGTCTCTAAAATGATCAAGATCAACCAAATTAATTTGCATTGAAAGCAATGGGAAATAAGCATAATTTCTGGAATAACGTTCTGGGTAGTGGAGAGGATCTGGCAAATACATCACAAGAACAAGATAGCAAATATGTTAATGCACCAGACCTAGTTTTAGTATACATTCATTTTTCATCAAGAATTTAGAAATATTTTGAGAGGTTTTACAGGTTTTTCACAACAAAAAAGGTAAAAAATAGCATAGAAAATGTTCTTATTAGTAAATAAAAAGTAAGGTGAATTACGGTGGACTTCGTCCCTTAAGGTTTCACGACCCATGGCAAGCATTATCGTATCATCGTTATCTTCATAGGTGTATGAATACATTACCTAGGGATTAATATCTACCTACTTTGGTCCACTTAGACTCGGATATATCAGGCATATCTTTCATTGTGTCCTTGGAGCCTGCTCGCATCCGGTGATGATAGTTCGTCCTACAGTTGATGGGAATATCTCTTACCAGTATTGCTTTGAATCACTACTTTCATCAAACCATGGGAACATCCAGAAGACAGTGTCATGATCAAATTTAAGAAACTCAAACTCAATTGTGAACTGCATGGCATTATTGAATGGAAATGGCTCTGTCATCATCCAGCTATCTTTATACAGACTGACCCATCCATTATTGGTTGGATAAACCACTCTGGTATTGTCAGCATTGTAGAAAGTGAAATCAGCTGAACCTGTGTCTTTCTGGATCTTTTCATATGATATTATTTTATAATCATCATAGCTGTTGTATTCATCATTGAGTGGCCAATAATATTGATAAAGCTACCAAGATGAATGGTCTCCTTACCTTCGCTGAGTTCTCAATCAAAGTATTCCTATAACATTACTTCAACTTAGTACCGTGTCAACGTATCTGGATACCCACAAAAGCTAACATCATCACAGATTGCCAATCTGCTTATCATACCAGTGGAGGGATTTAAGACACTACCGGTATTATACTGTCCAAATAAAGGCTCTGGGTCTTCTGTATTACCTGCAACAGATGAAAATTCATCTCCCTTTGTGATAAACCCTCCATCTGTATCGGCAGTGGCATCTAGAGAATATTAAGTACCATTATGAAAGCAGAAATATCTAAGTGAATTAATCCTTTAACCAAAAATAGAAAGGACTTTTTGGTATCAAAGGAATCTTACCATAACTGAAGGAGTAGAAATTTGTAATTTCTGAATTATAGACAATTGAGAACCTGAATGCATGCCATCCGCTCAGCTTTGCATCTATGAAGGGTGAGATTAGCTATTGGGTCTTGAAATTTTGGGTATAGAAATTTTGGATATTTTACCCTAGAAAATCTTAAAAAGTTTCAGGGTGTTTGTGATCTGTCATAAGGATCTCTGGCAATATTATATGCTCAAATATTTGCTGTCTTAAATGCATAGAAACAGATTGAAGGAAAGATGAAATATTTAATATTCAAGCTCTGTAAACTCTCCATCTGATTCTGAATAGTGATTGTCACTAGCTTTAACTACATTATAACAGGGTCATAACGATGAGACTAACTATTAACTTATAGATAGATGAAGTTTGTGCACTCAAAAGTTTTAAATAAGCAGAATTCCTCTTAGCAGCGTCCAAGATCGACTTGAAGCTGTCTTTCTGCTCTTCCAATGGTGAAGTATCCTAATCTTCTTCACTATCTGACTTTGTGAGATGTATCGGGTCAATAAACTATAACCTTCTTCTTGAGCCTGGCTCAGCAATTTGTCAATTTATTCTTAGATATTTTAATTAATCTCGATTATTCAGGAAATATGATGAACTTGCTTTTTAATTGGCATTGGAAAGGCAGTACATTTAGTAATGAAGAAATTTAAAAAGTAAAATGTTCATTTATTAAGATTTCCATAACTCTTTTTGAAAATAAGTGTCCTAACTTGCTTGTTTTTAGAAATATCAGGAGCCAATGCTCTTGCTCGGGCCTCATATCGAGAAAAAGAAACTAAAGGTGCTCAAACTTCGGATAGATACTTTTGGTTTTATAATATGCTAATTTTGAATCTAACAGTTTCTTAACTAACTTAGTCAGAACGAATAGTTTCATATTAAAAAAACCTTATTGTTAAGAATAGGAAGATGACATATTGCAGTGTTCGACTCAGATTTTTGTCAACATTAGGGGTACTAGCTATCATCAAATCTGTAGCTCCTTTATTACCTGATATGAATTCATAATTTAGAAATCTCTCATCCCCATCAAAGAGAGCTGAAGTAACATTAAAGTGATTTCCTTGTATAAATAGCATACACCATTTAGGCGTGAACCCTGCAGGCCCTCCATTGGTTGTAATATTTATTGGGATGCAGAACAGGCTAGAGGAGAAGTTAGTAAGAACTGAAGTACTTCTGAGACTTCTGACGGAATATGTACATTTCAATGTACACAGAATATGTGTTCGTGGTGAAGGAAACTGGGGTTATTGAAACCTTGTGCTGGTGGTTTAGGGCGAGGAGGCCGGTTGCTGGTCGGGTGAGGGAGGGAGTTGAGACTGCAGGGAGGTAGATGTACTGTCTATAGAGGATGAGTGGGGAGTTTGTGGGAGGAGTTATAGTTTAGTACCTGGTGTCCTCAATTCTATAGAGTTTAGATGGATTTTCGAGCAGCTTACGTGATGTTGACATTGGTCGAGTTGCCACTGAAGGTTAGGTCTGTTCCTGGAGGGACATCAAAGTCCCAGTTGTAGATCACTCAAAATCATTGGTATAACATGATGCTGAAGAATAGCAAGGAAAGCGAAAACTTATTATAACTTCTTCTAATAGCTGACATTTTTTAATATTAGAATGATATTAATATCAAGTAAAAGTAGTAACCAAGGGGTTTTGGGGTTTTGGGGTTTTGGGGTTTTGGGG